TTTAATATTATCTCTGAGATATAACCTGAGCGCCATTGTATGTCCACGATCCGAATTTCATTATACACGATTGTTCATCGAATGGAAAATATTCCACGTTAATTTCGCACGATGATTTGTAAATAGCGGGCGGTTTCCAAGATACTTCGCCAGTATATTTTAACGTAGCTTTTGTCATAAGTGTCACTTCGTAATTGCCATCGGCACTGTAAAATAAACATATACTTTTAATTTTGTTTTTTGTAATCATCGAAGTCCATAAAATTATGTTAACTAGTTGTAATAAAAAGTTTACTTATTGTAGAGGACGATATCTGGCAGCCAAATATTTTCCGAAGGCACGTATAACATTTCCACGCCACCGTATTCATCTGGTTCCCATCGTAATTTATAATCGAACCATTTCTGTCAAGACGAAAATATAACAACGAATAAAAAACTTTTACTGTTTTATATTTTGTTATTTCTTTAAATACTCGCAGAAATGACTTTTTAATTAACATTTACCTGTTCCACCCAAACGTTAGTAGTCATCACTTGATTTTTTAAATTCTGCAAATTTTTAAAAAGAACTGTTAATATTAACCCTATGCATACGGAATGTAAGAGAAATGCATAATTTCGCACCATTTCGATTAGCTGCGACAGCTTTAATCCAAGCCAAACCGTTAAGGTTTCACTGTTATTGATAACAGGGCGTATGAGTCTGTTATAATTCGCCAATAAGTCATCGTAAAGTCTTATTGTGTCGGGGTTTGCCTGGAACGTTTTTGTCCCGGTAACATCTGCACGAAACACATTTCTTTTCTATCATAGTTTCCAACAATTATGTAAAAAATAACCGACTACGTCGCATTGGAACAAGGTTGACAAAACAATACGTAAATGACAATAAAAATGTTAGAAAAGTTGTATAATAATTAAACACTGATAGAACAGAAAGACGAAAAACTTACCATATATAAAATAAAGAATACAAAAAACACCACCCCACGTTGATATCCGCATTTTAAATGTAACTATTTACAAATTTGTACAGAGTCGAGATGGCAGTGACCACTCCCAGTAAAAAGAACGTTCACCTGTTAACATCGTACACGACAAATTTCGAGTTAACGTAATCAAATACACAAAGTACGGCTACTGTATAAGATATTTTTCTTACTGGCGACAAATGAAGAATGCGATTAGTAGAATATGATCGTTCTGCATTTCACTGGACCAAAATCGATATCCGAAGTTACCGCCATGACACTTGCTCCAGCTTGCACTTCAATGTATATCATGTTACAGATTCACACTCTTGCGCATGCGCGCTATTGACGCGCGCACAGCTTTTTCAAATCGTGCACGTATTAGCGCGGCCAGTTATTAGCAAGCGTCGCGCACGCGTTTTTCGTCGTAAGATTCGAATCTTCGTTTTTTCTAATTTTCGTCAATTTAAAACGTAAAACGTCGTCTGAATGCATGCTAAAAGGTAACCAAAGTAATCGTTAGTTATTCCTTGTTCTCGTATTTCAATCGAGCGGTAAATCTTATTTTGTTCGAACGTTTTAATCGAAATGATTTCTCGCTTGTCGTAAGATGGATATTACCGACATTTTGCGAAGCTTGTTCGCCAGGTAGCGCACTCTGTACCAGTTTTCGTGAACGCTGTAACCCTTAAATGCACCGTCACAATCTTTCGACAAAAATTATTCTCGAAGCACCTTTATAATGAAACCGCGTTTATCTACAGATTTTTAATTATTTAATTTACAACGAAGACATTTCAGAGACTCGATAGGATACATTTTTCTTCCTTTTGTAAAGTAGCGTAATGTTCGTTGCCTTTTAACTTCGTAGACATTCGATAGTCATTTTGGCGGGCACTTTACCAACACATTTCACACAATTAACTTTGTTACAAAAATTAAGAGTCGTTATAATATCTACCGTAATATAAATATTCGACAATTTATACTTCATTTATCCAGTGGATCGATATCAAGAAACTGAGCACTCGAAGTTAACCTATCTACCGCTCGTAAGAGGTTAAGTAAATGCAAAGCGTGATAATTAATAACGAGATAACTAACAAGGCTTCAATATTAGTGCACACGAGAAAAAAACCGTATATCTAAACGATAACTATTGCTTAAAACGTTCCTGAATGTTTCAGCACCCTGTGCAACGCAGCACATCTAACGTACAAAGGTAATGCAAAGTAGTATACCTATAACATCAACACACAACGTTTCACCCAATCCTTGACTCGTTTCACTTAACATTTCTTACCGTAAACACCTCTGATTCCCCATGCATAGTATCGACCAAAATAGAAAACCACGTTCATGTTTCAGGCGACCGTCGCGTGTTTAGAAAACATCGTAATTATGTCAAGCAAGTAGCGGCGGAAGCACAAAGCACACTGGCCATGTTGCAGCGGAAAGTATAGTCGGTTGAACCGATACAGCGAGGTCGTAAAATCCATCAGGCGTCAAAGTACACGAAATCCAAGCGTCGAAACAGCAATTTAAGCAAGATAAGAAGCTTACTTAAAAAAAATCACAATTACTATTGAGCAGAAGGCAACAAAGGCTTATATAGGGTGTCCCACTTATAATGCACATCTAAATTATTTTCACTGAAACATTACACGGCCTTGATCGAAGGTTCAGGTATTTATTTCCTCCTATTTCTATCAATTCCCTTAATGGAACACTGGAAACGTGTTTATTTGGTCATATCACCGATTTTACGTCCTCGTTATATTTCTTCCACCAACTGTACATCCTTTAATACTTCAATTTACGATGTGACTATATCAGTTCCTCTAACTATACACATTTACTCAAGTATTTGCCCACTTATTCATTCACAATATTCTTTATTTCAGAAAGCAACTGCATTTAACCAGTTTCCAAGGATCTAACTATTAAGTCTGGTATCCCTCGTTAAAAAAAAAAAATACTTAAAAGAAAAGAAAGTATACGGGCAAATACTTGTGAACGTGGTAGCGTCTATTCTTCAGGAAAGTAACATCGATGGTGTAACAAGGCACGTAGAGGAGATCGAAACGCATCCTCCCACGTATACGATTATCGATCAAGGATACGTAAACAGCGGCGGTATAGTCGCGCACACGCGGCGACCCGGCCACTTAGCGTATGTTTGTTTAGTACCTTTTACGACTATATCGTCCAGGCATGTGTTAGGTTACGGAGGGAGCCAGTGTCTGGCGCATAGCTGAGGGTTGGGTGGCACGGCGCCGTGCTTCGAGAGGGTCATTTATAACTGTTATCGTGAGACTTACTAGCCCACTTACTACCTCCACTATGTCTATTCTCCACCCCCTCCCTTTCTATTCTACTGGAAGAAACGTAAGCGCGAGATGCGCCAGTCCACCGATCCTGCTGGTCATTCTATCACGGCTTTTTATTCGGTCATCCTGTATCGCGCCAGAAGACAACCCTTTGAGTAATGACGCCAACGAAATCGATACATCTCCGGCGGATCCTTGTGTCTTAGCGTGTAACTCTCTGTAATATCCAGAATTGTTTCCGAGGGAAAGTTCAGGGACCACTTACCGTCTCTTCTTTTCTTTTCTTTTTTAGCTTTCCTCTTGGAAAAGAAGAGTTACACGGACAAGATTAGAATATTTAATTCCATCGCTTTTGCTCAGAAACAATGTAATCTAGCGGTGACTTTGTAGTTGTGAAACTAGAGAAAAGTGAAGAAGGTTATTTCACCTGAAACGGTATAATTGTCGCTGGGCCAATTACAATCCTGTTTTCATTAGCTTTGGGACTTGTAACTGTAATAGTTGTACACACGGTCCTAATCCTTTGTTCTGGCAAAGCCACTTTGAGTGGCGAACTGACTGAACTGAAGCCGAACTTTGGACACATAGTGTTTACGGTTGGTAATATGCTAGCATTACATAAATCTGCGCGATAACAATAGCCAAACTTTCATCTTTAATGCTCTAGCCAGGGTATAATTGTATGTACAATACGTATATACGTGCAATTTCCATGTTACTTAGAAGGGAACATTCTGCAGTGGTAATCACCGATATTGACGAAACTTTGCTATATGACCTAGTACTAAAAAAAAAATACTCGACACGTATTTTTTTTTACATTTGGTCAAAATTATTATCTTTTATTTTTCAAATTCATCAATTTACTCTATTCCCCTATCTCTAACAGTTCTCGAGATATTACACTAAATATACTTACTACCTCCAAATTTAGGACGATTTTCACCCCGATATAGAAAAATTGTCGAATATTTTTACGAGATCTATCGCCCACCAAAGTTTCATCAAAATCGATGATTATCATTTCGAGATGTTCCCTCGTTTGCATTTACCAACGAAAAAAAAAAAAGAAATACACGTGAACGTGAAAAAAATCAATCTGATAAATTTCATTCGCAACGATAGACGTGTTATTTAGGAAGATCCGTATGATGAATACGAAGCCATGGCAGTACCTATTGAAACTCTGCGTGTTTGTCGAACAAACGTAGAATCATCGATATCACGTTCGTGGTTGTTCCAACAGATCATACACCGTTTACAGGGCGAAACAGGGTTTTATTTATTATAGCACGTAGAACCGCGCGCGGAACGAGAAAGCATCGGCGACGTTCGGGTGTTACAACCGATAGCTCGTCGTTATCGGGGACATTTCTCATCGCGTTTTTGTCCGTCGCTCAGAGGCCGGGAGCACTTAATCCTAATATGGAAATATGTCGTGCCATCCGCAAGCCGACGATTAATGCGAATAAATCGATTTTTGGCGTAGGTGGTGTGTGACGTTTGCCGGCCGCGAAAATCCTGGAAGCCAAGCCAAGTGGCGGAAACACGGGAATTCCATCTGGATTTACTAAGATCAGTGCCATTTAATGTGGAGCTCGATAAATCCCTTAAAAGCTGGCGGTCCGCAAGAAGACGGCGCATTACAATTTTCCTGGAGGAAGGAGAAACGGGCGCAGCGCGGCGGCGGCGAACGTCTACGAAGGAGACACGGACAAATCTGCAAATGCAAGGCTTCAGGTGCCAAATGCTTTCATCGTATAACGTGAATAACTGCCTTCTCTTATTTCCCGTCCTACATCGATCGCAATCTATGCGAATCGCACGCCCATTTTCGTTCAAACCAACGGAGAAAACCTCCTTATGAACGTGTTCCATTCGAGATGGCAAAAAAACATCTCGTTTTATTACCACATGTATACGAACCGATCGATTTTAATGCCGCGCATTAGCGTGTCCCCGAAAGTGTATTGGTTATCGCGGGCAAATTGGATTGGAGGTGATAAACGGAGAGAGATATTGGAATTTTAATAAGTATGTTTACACCGGGAAACAGGGGATAAATAAATTTATCTCGACGAAGAATGAAGGTAAATTATACTTTCGAACACTTTACGAATTTTATGCGATACTTTGAAATTCAGAAAAAGAGGGAACACGTAAGAATCTAGAGACCGTCAGCTCTATTCGTTGATCTTTCTACTTGATATTCCAACGTTTCCCTCGAGTAGCTTCAATTCCGACACATCCAATTCGTACGCCTTCGTATACTTTCCTAAACATGTCTATTTATCTAATTTATTGTTTCCAACGGTCGTCGTATCTTTAACCAAACGACACACTTTCACAACGAATCACTCTGCTTTCGAGCCTACGTCGAGTCCAACGGTAAATTAGAAACAGCGATCTTAGTGACAAATTTTTAATCTACTTTTTACGATTGTTTCCACCAAAAAGTGGTACAATTTGAGAGCTCTACGGAGCAAGAGAATGTCCAGGTTGTCCATGGTCATGATCGTTCCACCGTGCAGCGTTGGCTAAACGCCGTTGCTTGCTTATGATTTCCATAATTCTGCGCACTTCGTCCGTGGCAGGCTCTAAAGAGCCAATATCGAGCAAAGTAGGTGTGTACTTTAATTACTAGAGATAATTACGTCGTCACCGGCTTCAGTGAGGGATGGAGGTTTACTATGATAACAGAATATCCAATATCCTGGTGAGTTACGTACCGAGCACGACACAGCCTCCTGCATATGTATTCCGCACGTACGCACCGTGGATGTATTTACTATCGTATGCACGCCAGTACATGCCAGTCGGTCGCGTTTGACCCCCATCCGTTATTAATATAATTATCCTCCCGATTATTGTCTTACGGTTCCTGCATTTAACTGCGGACGTACGATATTCGCACCTGTTTCACTGCCATACCGGCTGAGAAAT